TTCTAGGCACCAAAGAAGAAATGTCATTAGAACAATTACCATCAAAATATCTATAGAAGAGTTACAGAAAAACTATCATATAGCGGTGAGAAAGGGAACGAAGCCGATATGTCAGATTAAGACCGATAACATTGCGGAGTATTCTTTGGCTTTTATCAATAATCTGTAAATATATAACCGAAGCACAGATTTGAGAGCAATATTCAATGTATGGATCAAGGATAGATTCATAAATGTGTAAGACAAATTCTGTAGACAAAAATTGTTTGGCACGACATGGCGGGAAGCAAGCAAGTAGAAATGGCATAAATTGACTAAATTCATTTGATTTACCATCCCCCCCAACTATATATGCGGCAGGAAATATATAAATAAATACACGTTGGTAGTTATTTTATGGTTGAATGATTCGTACTAAACTCCGTTGTTTTGCCAAATGTGTTATGTTTCTGAGTAGCATTAATATTTAGAAACATTTTTTGACAGCTGCACCATTCGGATTTGCGAAGGTGTCTGTTGTAAGCTTCTTGGAATATCGAATGAAATATATTTTGCATATTCTTATCAATCAATCAACTAATCAATTTGTCTGTTTTTCCATCTCTCTCTCTCTCTCTCTCTCTCTCTCTCTCTTTATATATATATATATATATATATATATATATGACACCAGAAGTGTTGAAACAAAATGGCTATTTTTGTAGTGATTTTATAACATTTTTATGTTATAATTTTCAAATAAATTGTTATATTTCCTCTACTCTGTATTGTGAAGAAAAGGAAAGAGGAAGAGAGAAGGGGTTACTTACGGACGGGTTGCTTCAGCCTCGGGGGAATTGTGTCCAGCTAATCTGGAACCAAATGACCAACTGATATTTATGGTCTTGTTCGGAGGAGGATTGTGGGAAGCGGTTAGCCTCCTTATAAAAATCATCCTCTGTATTCTGACGAGACCTATTTTTCTCTATCAGCGGACGCGTGACTGGTTATTTGTCGTGCTGAAGGATTATTACTACTTTTTCTTCTCTGTTACTAGACCTAGCTGGAGCGGGTCGCAAGAGGAGGACTCCTTTTGCAACCCTTACCAGGCTGTCGCTGCTATCTTCTGGGTTTTCCCCACTTTTACTGTGTCGAAAGTTTTTGTTTTTTTCTCCGACAGTATTGAGCACTCTTTTAAGAATAGTATTTGTAGGTTATTGGAATTTATTCCGTATACACCAATCCTATATATATATATATATATATATATATATATATATATATATATATATATATATATATATATGGTAATGATACAATATGATATTTCGTATGGAATTTCCAGGAGGATATCGATCCAGGACGAGCTCTATGTCAAAAGACAGAGCAAAATTATCTTTAATTAAAGAATATCACAGATTTTATCTCATAGGTAATAATTTTTATTTCTTTAATAATTTTTTTTATTTCATGAGACCTCTAAAAATCTGCATCTCCCAATCTTCAAGGTCTAATAACAAATTATCCATAATGGATTACTTTTTCACCTTCTAATGAACGCTCAGCACATTGTCAACCGTTTTGCATTTAAAAGAATAATGAAAAAATTACGGTAATTGATAACACCGCACAACTTTGTATAAATACTTATATTAATGAACAACATATAGTTTTGTGTTACTACCACCCTTGAAGATGATCTCCGAAAAAGATCGAAAGTACTTGGGAAATGAAAATAAAAGAAATTTAAACAGCTATAGCACATTTCTCTCATCGTTTAACATAAAAACACGGATGGTTATTCGTGAGTATGAACGGATTTTTTAAAAATTAGCAGATATAATGTATGTAATTTATTCAATCATATATATATATATATATATATATATATATACAGAAACCATATGTATATGTAGGACACCCATGGCTAAGATATAAAGACAAGTTAAAAAGCAATTTGTCAGCAGTCAATATACCACATAACACCCTTGAGCGCTTAGCCTTGGAGCGGGTAGAATGGAGATCAACGGGTTTTAGTGGACTCGGCAATTTTCAATCTGTCTGAATCATCTTCACGAACCGAGAGCAAGATCTAAATGGTCAGCCAATCTAACAGTGATCTCATCTCACAATCCTTACACTTGCTCCATATGTGGCCTCCTTTGTAAATCACTAGCGGGTCTTAAATGCCACTTAAGATTATCTCACAAAATTCCATAACTGAATCAATAAGCTGCCAGATCCTCATACGTCGAAATATATATATATATATATATATATATATATATATATATATAACAGATTTCTCGTACTGACAAATCTAATCAGACATTTGAAGAATAAAAAATATGCGATCATATTAAACATAAGATACAACAATGTCTGCGTTTAAAACATAAAATGTAAGGTACCTTTCGACCGACACATTTTCAAACACAATCGTCGGTAATCTAAAACGGAGTACTAACAAGAAATTTTTTTTTATTAATACCGTAATAAAACAAGATGGTAAGTGGGGAAAAAAAATTATTTTACCTCAAATCATGTAACCGTTCCCCCAAATAAGGCCAACTTAAACTTCATCTCCCGTTGTACGCAGAGGGCCGGCCTACGTATTTTGATAATAACAGACTCCAAAATGTCGAGGTGGAGTATTTTCCCTAGCCCTATGCAATACCGAAAAGAAATGTGGAGAATACTCGGTCCTACAAACACCAGAATTTAATAGATATATTTAATATATATATATATATATATATATATATATATATATATATATATATATATATATATATACAGAAACCATTAGCTTGTTTTAATATAGCAAACTCGATGTATATTCTTCAGTTTTTTCTTCAAAAGTGAAGACGAGTTTTCATCTGAATATTTCCCATATTAATTAAGTATATATTAATATCACTACATTAATAACAGACGAAGAAGATAGCCTGCCAACTCTGCTGCTTTAATAGTAACATGTCTCAAAAAACGCTTAACAGGAACAGACAAAAACTTATCAATACGACACTTGAAGATAGATTGATAGATATATAAGTGGTAGATAGACTGAAAATCTATTCTCAAACATATAATCTTTCGAATTGGTCATTCAGATGATTAAATATTTTATGCATTTCATAAAGAAACTGCGCTCTCCTCAGGATATACACTACACCATCCAAGTGGAGAGGTTTGTCTCTTGCAAATTGGGCCAATTTCCGTTTTGATGCTTGTCAGTTGAAGTTTAATACAAACCAATGTTTACCTATAGACTCAACTAAAACCTGGCCAATGTGTCACTATAAACTCAAGTATAAGCCTGACCAGTGTTTACATATATACGCGAATATAACCAACCAATGTTTGTTTAGCTAGAGTATCAAATATAAACATTTACCTATAGACTCAACTATAAAGCCGACTAATGTTTACCTATAGACTCAAATATGATCATGGCCAACGCTTACATACTGAATCAAGTGTAAACGTAACCAATGTTTATATACAGACTCAGGTATAAATTCGAACAATGTTTAATTACAGGCTCAAGTTAAGATCCGACCATTGTTCACCTAATAACTCAAGAATAAAATTAGTCCACGTATACGTGAGAATAAACACGGAAATTGTTTACGTCTAGACTCAAGTATATGCTTAAGCAATGTTTACTTAAAGATTCAAGTATAAACCCAAACAATGTGTAGCTAGAGACTCAACTATGAAACCAGTCAATGTTTTCTTTTAGACTCAGCATATGTTTGAGTAATGTTTGTATAATGGAATCAGAAATCAGAAAGCCGAGTTCGAATTCCAACCGACTTCGTTACATTCGATTACTTGCAAATACCCTTCACCCCAGCTATGGGTTAAATAGGAGGACAAACTCGACCCCAGCTTGGTTTGGAAACTAGTCTAGAAAAATGAAACTCTGAATTCAAATTAGTCTGGAGTGCCGCTACGACCCTCTGGGTTTACCGGACTCGAACCAACGTTTAGGCATAAACTTGTCTTATATCTACCAACAGATACATTTTTAATTATAAACACAGCAATTTCCACATGTAGAAAGACGCTTTGAGTTGTTTTAAAATTCAACAGCCCGACTCATGAATGAAATATTTAAGTAACTGAAAATGCATTAAAATGTAGTTCGATATAAAAGTTAACGGATTTCTTAAAAGTTGAACGTGAAATTTTATTTGCCAAGTTCTATAAATTATTGCAATAATCGTGGCACTTACAACCCGCCTAAGTTAAACGAATCATCCCTGTCGTCGTCTTCACAATTTTCTCATTCAAAATTCTCTTATTTAGTGCATAAAAGCAGAGAGTTACTCGTCAGCGAAATTCAGGAGGGGCACAAATTACCCCCATTAGAGCCTCACTCGCTTAGAGAAGTTGATAGGGTTGTTTCAAAAGGTAATCTATGTAATTGCTATCGATTTGATAATGTCAGCGATTTGTTGACGATAGCGAATGCGGGTATTATGTGAAGGTTAATAAGGCTCGCGAGGATTTTTGAATGCACTTGAATTACTGACGCTTATTAACACGAAGATAATGATGAGATTAGATAGGCTTAGATAAAGATAGGAATGAAAGAAGAACGTTAATGGACAAAGGGAGAAATTGCCCTCTGTCAGATTTTATTATGAAAGTCTGTGTTATTTTTCAGAATTAAACTCATATTAACCAATCGATTTTCTAAAATCTTCAGGAAACGCTTAAATGTATACAGGCCATACAATGTGTGAGTTTCAGCTCGTAACAAACAAGCCTCGTTGGAAACATTACCGTAAACTGCGGCATACAAGTCAAGTTTTCACGCCTAAAAATACAATTCTTCTACGTTTTAATCATTTGATGTTAGATACATATTATTAAAGCTAACTTTAATGTTAGAGATTTTCTAATTACAGAGTAGTCTCCCCTTATTTATTTTCACCTAATTATTTTATAGAATCTATACATAAAAAGTAACTTGACATATAGCCATATATATATATCTTGATTGATTGCAGTGTATCTATCTACCCATCAATCTATTTCGGTGTATTCCTATCTATCTATCTATCTATCTATCTCGGTGTATTCCTATCTATTTATCTATCTATCTATCTATCTCAGACTATTCATATCTATCTATCTAGCTACCTCAGACTATTCATATCTATCTATCTATCTATCTATCTATCTATCTATCTATCTATCTATCTATCTATCTATCTCAGGCTATTAATATCTATCTATCTATCTATCTATCTATCTATCTATCTATCTAATCCTTTTCCTATCTACGTTTTTCAAAGTTATCTAACTCAGTATGCTCCTATCTATCTATCTATCTATCTATCTATCTATCTATCTATCTATTTAGATAAATAGATAGATAGATAGATAGATAGATAGATAGATAGATAGATAGGAGCATACGATAGTAAGTTGTGGAGAGTCATGATCCCTACTTAAAGAATTTATGTAAACAGTCTCCAAATCTAAAAGTTGACTCATATGGTGGGTATAAAATGCGAATACACACACACACACACACATAAATAAATATATATATATATATATATATATATATATATATATATATATATATATATATAGATAGATAGATAGATAGATAGATAGATATTTCAAATATGTTTCTTTTTATTTTGAAATATCAGATTGTGGTATATAAATATATCGACATATATAACACGTAGTGTTTACCAATACAATATCCCACACTACATAAATGTTCCACATTGCTTTAAAAGATTTAATTTCTTCTAAACCAAGAATACCAGGATATTGTGGAGCCAAATCGGATATTATTAGCAATTATTAATTCGCAAAGTCTGCAGAATTCAAAATTCAGAAAAATAATTCTCAATATTAAACTTTTTCCAAATTTAACTTTGAAGGGATCTACAATTTAATACTGATAGTACAATGTAAAATCTATTCCTTCAACTCCCCCTGCTGTGTCATCACTTTCGCCCTATTCTCGTCCATGATCTTTAAAGAATTTCACAGCCGATATTATCTGCCGAGCAGGGTTTTTTTTTTTTTACATTGACTGGAAGTTTTTTATATATACATTTCACAACATTATTAACCAATTTACGACACTATTAAACATTTTACGACTTTACTAAACAACTTCCTTTATTTATCAAAGCAGACTTTCGACCCATTTTAAAATTCCACGGTCGCAATATAGCAATTTATTTGAGACTTCAGGAGTCAAGATATATCAGAAAATGGATGCCGAGTCTTTCCACCTGCGTAGAACGAACCAGCTCTCGTGGTAACTGCGCAGATAGGTGTTATTAAGAATAAATACAACAGCTGCCTTGTCAGACAATACAATCAACTGCCCAGAAGAAAAATTATATATATATATATATATTAAAGTGAAAGATGGTCCACGTGTGCTTCTTATAATATGTAGATTTAATAGACCGACTAATGAAATTTGAAGAATAAAAAGACAGCAAAATGGTAACAATATTGCTAATAAGATTGGCGATATTTATTATAGATTAGCCTTTTGACTAAATTGAAGCACGAAGAGAAAGATTGTCAAGTTGAAAATTCCGAATTTAAACTCTTTGTCTTTTGCTACCAAATGTAACTACGCGACTGATGTATAATTACTGTTACCAGAATTATTCAGCGCTATATATAAACGTTATGGACAACCATGCATGCTAATCAAAAAGTCTCTGTTATCTCAGTTGACATATTACACCCATGCGCAATTTAACTGAAACAACTTCTTTCTCCATACTGTCAGTTTTAGACCCACATGTTGTAATCGATTTACATTTTTCCTCAGATTAGGTCATTTGCAGTGGTGTGAAATAATATGAATCTATTTTCAGGGAGTATGATGAAATTTGTTTAGCCTTGAAAAATATTTCGTCATTCGTAATTGCATCAGATTTTTATCAGGCCTAGACACTATTTCCTCGACTGTTGATTAGTTGTCCTACGGCCATTGTCTGCGATGGACGTTACTCTAAGGAAGCATTCGAAAATTCTAACACTGCAAGAACAAATTGACAGTGAGCAAATCAAAGTACTATAGACTGGCCGGGAAACTCTCCTGGTTTAAATACAATCGAAAATCGGTGGTCAATCTGCAAGGAACGACTTCATAGAATGGACATACGAAGTACTAACATGTGCACTGGGTCATGTTTCATTGGGAAAATATGAAAGGAAAAGTAGACAAAAGGACAAGAAAATTGATATTTTCGATAAAACTTCCTCGTTATGTTCAGAGCATATTTCTCTCAGAATCTTTTCGTCAAACTATATTTCTGTTGTCTCGTGTTTCTTCTTCACCTGTGAGGTTAAAAATCAGACATAGAGAGGCTTAATATAAATCACATTTTGTCTCAATAATGTAGATGTTACGCTTGTGAAATAAATGTTTTCTTTGATGATACCGGTTTGGTGATAAAACATACCAAAGTACGAATTTTCGAATTCCCAGGTTTTTAATTTGTATAAATCTGTTGTAGGAACGTTTGAACACAAGAATGAAGACATTTCTTTTACTTCATTTACTGATGAAATATAAATTGATTGGCTAGACATCTGAGCTGATCCGAACATCCCCAGCTATAAACTGCACAGGAAGTGATGTTTTTATCTCGCGAGGAGGTATCAGTACCACCCGATATGTTTTTAACAAGACAATTCAGAATGCAAGCGAAATAAAAACAAGCTGAAAGTTTATAAAACATGAATCTTCTTTTTCTATGTACTGTGTCCTTTCAAGACGTAAGCGATCATGGCTCTCCACAACTTCCTATTGTAGCCCTTAATTAAGTTTGTATGTTTGCTCTATTTTCTAATCCCTGTTCTTTCAGCCATTTCCATAAATAGGTTATGCACGATTTTTCTATCCCTCATGCTTTAAATATACCCTGTGAGTGTCAATTTTTCCGTGCCCTCTTTTTCTCATTATGTGGCCTAGAAAGCTCAATAATCTCGTTCTGATACAAATTATAACTCTCCTTTTTGTTTCCATTTTATTTAAAATTTATTGTTCGGTCAGTGGTATCCTCAGCATCTTTCTGTAGAAACACGTGTCTGTTGTTTCAAGTCTCTTCTGCATTTTTGATGAGATTGTCCGTCATTCACTGCCATAGATGAGAACAGATGTTAGTTAACAATTCAGCACTTTTTTCTTTATTTCTAACGAAATTTTGGTGTCCACATGATATGGGTTGTGTCAGCTGGAACGGCAAAGCATGTTATTTATCGGTGGGAACAAACTTTTGTCTCTTGAACATTGGGACCTATTCAAGAATCCCATATAAACTAACAACTAATCTTCTATTCCAGATAAATGCTACACTGTTTCTTAGATTGACAAGTTTCCTAGAATTGGTTTGGGAATACTTCTGTCGACTTCTGACAAACGATGTGACCCACTGTTACATAACATGATCCTAATCAAGCATTTGTTGGATGTGGAGAATCAAGAACAAGGACAGTTTTTAAAACAGCATTCGGTTTTTAAGGCAACATCCGGTTCCGGTTTTTAAGACTATCTGTTTCCGGTTCACATTGCATTTGTTGGGTCAATTTACTCCCGGAATTCGATTACCCCAACAAAGATGTGTTATTCCATTAGTATCATTGTGTCATCGGTATCAAGTTACCTAGACTTGATTTAGAAGCATTGTAGGAACTTCTGACAAATAGTGTGTTTACTACGTTCGCCTTGAATCGAGAATTTATAAGACAAGGTTTCTTCGTGCGCAAGAATGGAAACAAAAAGTATACAGAAACATACTGTGGAAATTTTTCGGTTACATAATGAGGAAAGAGGACTTGGAGAATTTAGAAAGCACAGGATTTATTGGGGGTATATCCAAAAAGTCAGTTCAGTATTCTTTATAAACTGTTAACGCTACCAAGCCGGCGAGAGTGCGTCACCACCGCCCGTAACATAGGTAAGTAAACTCTGGAAGACTGTCAAATGTGTGGCGTTCTTCGATAAGCTACGGACCCGGTTCTTTCGATCTGGGAACAGATACCATCAGTCCATGGTCCCCAGTTGTCAAAAAGACGCCGTGAAGACCGATGGTAGTTTCTTAATAGTGTGCTGTATGTTCGCCTGAAATACGTTGGTTTCGCTGGTCCGCTTAAACACGTAATTGGCGGATGGCAGCTACGTTGCACGGCTTTAAGATAATTCGCATCCATCCGTAGACGTCAGAGGGCCCAACAACAATGGATTATTCCAGCAGCTGTATTATCATGTCTGAAATGTCGAGAATTGGTTTGAGAGGCATTCTGAAAACTTTCAACAAACGGTGTGGGCACAATGTTCGCCGGATATGAGACATGTCATGCACTTATAGGAAATGATGCAGACGACTATTCGCACGAATATCCTACACATACAAATATCAGTGAGCTGAAAAATAGCTATCGAGACGACATGGCTCTACAATATTCCAACTCTTCTAAACACTTGTGTAATCGATGCTAATTCTTGTTATTGCACTTCATTAATCTAGGGGAGTTCCTGCAAAGTAGAGTCTCATGACTTTTGGTACGTCAGGATATATTTATGGACATTGACATGTATGTCGGCAGTGGGTTCATATATTCGTGTGTCTATGTGCATGTTTGTGCGTGTGCGCGCGCCGAGTGGATGCATACATCAGCATCAAGAAATCATACTGAGAAGCCATAATGAAAATAAAATAAAGGGAGAGAAACTAGGAGAGCGTTTTGATAGAATAAAACGCCATTGCTTAGATATTTATCTCTATTTTATTTTTTTTAACAAGCCCTTCACTTAACGAATATCGCAATCTCCTTTTACTGCTCTTAACCGAACAATATTGGTCCTTATCTGAACAATCGAATGGATCCATCCTCGTGAGATTCGCTTCGACCCAGGAAAAACCATAGTTGGGATAACATTCCAAAGATAACGGTGCTATCGTAATTTTATTCCGATCTTGTTCATTTTAAAACTTAGTCGTTTTAATGGATTTCTTTTGGCTCATTTTTATTTCGATTTTCAAAACTTTATACTGATAAACACATCGATTCCGCCTGCTTGACACTGAACTGGACGAGAATACTAATCGCAGATGCTTACACAACTGAAAAATGTTCGCATTTGTTAAGCCTGTTTTTTATAGTTAAATAAGGAAAATAAGAGAGGGGCGATTGTATTGCGCTAACCAGTCAAACTTGGATTTCGAACATAGCGAGTAAGAATGCTCCAACTCTTTTAGCTATGAGATGGACCACAATGAAAATTATACATCAGCATAGCTTAGGTGAGCACCAGATCAATTAAGGATGAAAATTATGGAGGAAAATGTGTATTCCATATGTGCTGTAACCTCGGA